CCTTTCATATTAACAGAGGGTATTTCCATTCCTTTGGATGAAATACCTTCCTTATTGCTGAATTGTTGGGTTCCTGATTGGTGACATCTGCCAAAGCGGGGTTTTCAGAATTACAGTGACAATTTTGATTTTTGTTTTGAAAATCCACAAAAAGTCATCCCAACACAATTACGAAATGTGATAGAGAATTTCAAATACAGAACCTGATCTTTGCCATCAAAAAGCCCACAAGCTTTTCCTGGAAGGAGAAAACAATTTACACGTAAATGAATGCACAAACAAGTTTTAATACTTGAGATTATTTTTAGCTTGCTTGTAATGTTTTACACCTTCCCTTCACTTGGGAAAAATGTGTCCCACTTCTTACTATCTCAACATTTTAATTGCCACTGTTCTTCTCTGAATTTTAAATTTTCTTTAGTGTAGTCTTTATTACTTGAATATAAATCCATTCTCCAAAATATTCTGCTGTATTTCGGGGATGAAAAAAAAAGTGCTAGGTTAGCTATTATTTAACTAAGAATCTCCTCCATACTGTATCAAGAGTTTAAAGCTCTGTGCATGGGATTTGTTTGTTAGAGTTTCAGGCTATAGAAAGTGCTGTAGAATCCAGTGGGTACTAATGAGTGATTTAGTATGGGTTATCTTTTTCTTTAATAGATTCATGATAAGAACACACCCTGGAAGTCTTTCCTTGTAGTTGTTGAAGGTGCTTCTAAGAATGACGAGGATCATAAGACTGAGCTTCCTGATGAGGAATATGATGGACCTCGTCCCAAGTTATCAGAAAAGCTGCTGTCATTCTCTGAAAATGGGCACTATCAAAGTTTGACGGCTGTTCAAGAAAGCATGGCTGCTGGGCATGAAAATGGATCTTCCTCTGTAACAGACTGTAAATTGAGGCCTGTAGCGGGGTCCCAAGAAGCCCCTATAGCTACAGCTTTGCATGATCTGACAGTGTTGCACACCCAGACAGACTCACTTCAACCGCCTCTTCACAACTTGGTGAACATGGAATAGGTCCATCAGTTGAGTGGAGAAGTTCAACAAGGGAAAAGTTACTTTATATTGTGTAGAACTCTAAAACAGTAAAAAGGTACTGTTAAGAGTCTTGTGTTCTACCCAAATTAGTTGAATTCAAATGGATGAAGTCAATACTTAACCCATTTGTCAAAGAGAAAAGTGCTCTTTCATGTTTTATCTGCATAATGTAAAGTAGGGTCCAGATCACAGTCACTATAAAAAGAAATGGAGGTTCTGTTTGAGTCCAGATTTTTCTTTTCTTCTTGGCATTATATCCTGTTAGTTTCCTTTTTTAAAAAATATCTTGTTTAACATTGTTTTCATATTGTATGCAAAAGAATGTGAAATACTGTACCACAATTTCTCTCTGGGCCCAATACTTTATGCAGTGTAATTTTTCAAAGAAATCTCAGATGGTAGGAAATATCTAACACTGTTTTTGTAAACTGCAGAACTGCTCTTCTGACGAAATTCAGGAAAATCAACATTTAAATCCAATTGTGTCCCTTGGCTGTTGCAATTGAAGTCCTGGGTTTCTCTTCCCTCATGTAACCCTTTTGCAGCTGTCAAAAATCTGCAGCCAATGCTTTGGATAGTCTCCGGAATTGATGTGTACAATCACCACAGAGGGAGAGAGAGGGAAAACCACTGCTCCTACAATTTGGATGTTGACTTAGCTTTGTAAAAGGAATGGAGATTACATTAAAATAATGTAATCAATATGACAGACTACGTCTTGGGGGGAAAAACATGGAAACAGATTTTTTTAAAAAAAATATTGCAGAAGCTTTGTTCTAGAACCAACTTCCCTCCTAGGTAAGCCTGTTAGCTCTCTCTTTCTTCAGTCCCTACTGATCTGTCCATATGATAGTGATGTCTACTACAGAGGTAAGGAACTGAGAGTTTTCCAGATAATGCTAAATTACCGATCAGTGCCAACCAGCATTCGTATTAATGAGACTAACTGAGAATTGTTATCTAACAACATCGAGATTTATAGGTCCCCAACCTGTTTTATAAATTCATCATCTTATTGCATCCACCTAGGTATCTTCTCAGTCCTGCACATTCTTTGCCCAGAATCTCTCTTTAGAAGGTACTGCACATGGTTCTTGGTTCCCCCATTTCCTGCCCCCCCCTGAAGTTATTTCCCAGTTGCTGCTGTATTCTACTTAACTGGTATTTGCATATGGAGAAGAGTGTTTTATATCTTGAAGAATTTCATGGGCAGGGTTCTTATAGAACAGATTGCTCCAAGATATTAAAAATGGTGGGGGGGGGGGGCGTTTTCCCAAAGATGGTACATCTTGTTGTAGATAATTTATTGTAAATTACCTTGCTTTGCCCCATTATATTAATATTCTGAATTAAGAAAGTTAAAATCATCAGATTTCTGGCAGTGGTGCCTGAAATATTCTGGGTGTAGTTTTCCTACTTCGGATTTATGTTTGCATGAAACACTTCCATCTCTCATGGCAAATTAAGTTATAATCTGGGCTGAGATTCTAAGCAATGCAAAACAGAAATTAAGATAGGAAGAACTATTTGCAAACTTGTAGATTTTTACAAATAGATTCACCCAATTATGTTTCAGTGCTCATAGCTCGGGAGACCATGCAGTGTAACCAAGATAAAATAGTTGCTCAAATGTGAAAGTAAGTTTCCTATATCACACAGGTTGCGGAGAGGAAAACTTTTAACTCAGAAAGCATCAGTAATGTGCCTTTTTACTTTTAAAATCAGGAAATAAGTGCCAAAACCTATGTGAATCTGAAATTCCACCTACCATATGTCCTGAATTTGCTAGTATTCTGGGTTTTAATTTTTATATTCAGAAACCATCCTTAGTATTATTTAAGACTTTAAAAAATCACCAACACGTTAAATGTTTCTTTCCAAATCACGTATATTGTGTTCGTGATGTTTTTCTACTTTGGGGAACTAAGGTGTAAGTTAAAGCGTTGTAGTTTCTGTCATTCCGTGTGCACTCCCAAATTTTCTTTGGAAGGTTGTGGGAACCTTAAAGATGCAGCATCTTTAAGAGAGCTACAAAATGCAGAAAACAACAAAGTAGGGGGGAAATCCCATTTCAAAAGTGGAAATCTCACATGATATTGAATATCAATCTTTTAAGGCATTTTTTAAATATTCTGCCCCTTTCAGAAATTAGTGCAACTAGTGATGTGTGTTGGGCCCTGCACTCTTTATGACAAAAAAATGTGGTAAATTTGAGAGAGGCACAATTGTTTTGTCTTAAGGGACAGGATTTTCACAGAAGTAATCTTGGCATGCAAGATATTTTCCTCAAGGCATTTGTGGATTCAGAGAATATGCAAGCTGCTTTTACTCGGTTACTTTTCAAAGTCAAAGATTTATTCGCGCATTGGATCCAATTTGGGATATTGGTTGTATCCTTCAGTAAAGTTTTGGATTCATTCAGTTGTGTATCCTCAAAATTTCCTCTTTCTTTACATCAAATTCAAAATCACTTTGTATAGGGGAGGAATAATTTAGGCCAACTTTGCTATATTAGCTTTTCAAATTTTTGCCCTAATATTTTCTTTGTCCAGAAGGAAAAGCAATAAAAGGTTCCTATATATAATTTTTTAAAGGTAAACTCTGTAGTAAGAGCTTTATGTCATTTCTTCTGTTTTTATTTAATCTGGTAAAATGAATGTTTTTAGAAATACTATCCAGGGGTTATATTTACATATTTATTTTGTATACCATGTGCTCCTTTTGACTTGCATTTTAATGACCAGTTGCAATACATTTGTAGGGTATATTTCAACCTTAAGTACCAATAGATAGGGATCATTATTTTATACTGTATAAATATGTGAAAGTAGATGGACTTAAATAAATTGATTGGCCTTATTAAAAAAATTAAAGAATGCCATATTTTTTTGCAAGTTACTTATTTAGAGAAAGAGTTTACATTTCTTGGAAAATATCGCGATCCAGAAGGCTGAGTAATGTGTAAATGTAATTTACATGCAGTGTTAGCATTCATGTTTGTGTTCAAAAGTAATAGAACTGCTCTCTATTAAAGGATGTTTTCACAGCATGCTAAGCCATAATGTGGTTTCTCTGGTGTGAATTCAGCCATTACAGAAGGATCTGTAAGCCACTTAGGTTTTAAAGCAAAACCAGCCATTGTGTTGCAATGTACAGCTACACTGGAGAATTTTTAGTTTGTTAAAATTAGAAAGGAACATAAGGGACCTGGTCCTACCTGCTAATTACTAATTTCTGTGCTGAAGTGTTGAAATGACATCTGTTCACATTGGTGTGCTATTTCATGCTAAATTAAGATCAGTTTCAGCAAAGATAATTGAATAAACCACATTTGGTTGGATTTAGAATACTTCGAGGCTGTTCATGCTTAGTTTGCTTACTCATGGTTACTGATTAAACTGATTCATACAGTCCACTAAGCCAAAAGGTGCTACGATTAAAACCCATTACATAACTCTATTATTAGTAAAGGCTTTTTCATTAACTCGAAATCTGCAAATTTTGTGAAGAGAGAAAATGCAATTACAACTCTTGAGTGTTTTATGTTGAAATAATTCAGAAGTAAATCCTTTTTGGGGTCATAAATCATTCCAGCTATTGAGTAATTTTTTTCTATTTACCAAAATAATATGCTAGGCTTGGAATTAAAGGACATAATGTGATATGGGGGTCACTTGGCATCTGCAGGAAATACCTTAAACCAAACACATTTTTTTTCTTAAGTTCATGTATCATCTGCAAAGGGCAGTCACATGATTCTGGAGAAAATCCTGGTTGTATTAAGTTTTTGGGATATATACTATGTGCATGCTCCCAATTCCGTTTTGGCCTTCAGATCTGAATCTCTGCACAACTCTGAAAATTATTTCTAGTTGTACTACTAACAATATTGTACCAGCCTGACAAATCTATGTAGAGGAAAAAGTACAGGACTAGTAAAAACACACTTTGTCTTCACGGTGGGTAATAAACAAGTTTAATGACGCTGCCAACAATAAGCAATACAAACAGATGAAAACTTCGGTATATTGAATTACAGCTCCTTCAATTAAAGATGATGCCAAGAACTCAGTTGGTTGCAACCTTACAGCTGCTTCAGAGAGTATTTTCCAGCTTTTAAGAGAAAAATCCAAGAGAATTGACCAAGTGGTGCCACTTCTATACCTCATGTTACAAACGACCGATAATGAATTTGCTGTGTGTGCATCCAGGAAAATTTCACAGATTTCTAAACTATATTACGTATGTTGTGACCGTAGTCTGTCAGTGACTGAATATAAGCATGTCTACAGTATCTCTTCAACACTTAAATATTTCACAACATGGTGGATTTTTATTTGAAATATTTCCAAAGCTTACCAGGTGATGCTTTTTGTTGAAACCTAAAGCGATGGTTCTAAATACTGCTAACATTGGCTCATGTCTTAATCCTGGCACACCAAACATACGCATGCATCAAACAACTGTCTTTAGCTTAAAGAAATGGCATTTGTTGTTTGGGACGAGCAACTCGGCCACGTATACACAAACACTCGGAACAAGTGAGTGGCACCACAAAGTGAGTTGTGCTGGTGTTAACATTCTGGTGAAAAAAAGTTCACACTGCACAGTGTGGGGAAATTCTGTTCGGTACACTGGAGAATAATCCAAACTTGATTTTGTGTCCATATTGAGCTTAGGAAACCAGAGCCATTTATTCCAAAAAAAAATGCCCTGCAGAACTCAAAGAGGCTCTTTTGCTTTCGAGTAAACATTTTCAGTTGATGAAATGACATAAAATGTAATTTTGTGTTAAGACTGGGACAGTCCAACATGCCCAATGATAAAGTTCCAACAAGATAGAAATAAATGGCAGATGCATTTGCATCTCTCTCTCGAGCTCCATTTTCATTGGCAGAGGGTTGCAGGAGACCATGGCAGCCAAAAATGGAGCTTGGGAGCCCGTTTTCGCTGGCAGAAGCAGCGCAGGCCAGTCCTTTGCTGTTTCCAGGGTAGCCCCATGGGCCAGATGTAAGTGTCCCACGGGCCAGATCCGGCCCTCAGGCCTTGAGTTTGATACCCGTTTTAGACCTTTCCATCGTAAGGGATTTCCAACACTGGAAACCACCAACCACAGATAGTGATAAGGAGAGAAGGAAGAAGAGCCTAAAACTGCATTTGCTTTCCAAGGCCAGCGTTGTTCTTCTGACCTTGGGAAGCAAACTTCAGCCCCTTCTACAGCTCTGGGATCCTTCATGCCTGAGAAGACTGCCTAATGAACTATTTGAACAAAAGCACATGAATGAATTTGAACATAGTGAACAGAAAAGCAGTAGTAACAAAAAGCGTTACAAATAATTTTCAGGGATACCAATAAAGTTGAGCACTGAACACCTCCATGATTCATTTGGAAAGAAATAGGAAATAATTTCCTATTCCTTTTTCCTGGGTTTCTTCCCAAGCTAGTTTATAACTGTGATCTCCCTTCTAAGCACTAAGCAGCTCTGACACTGTTTAGATCTTTCATATCGGGCAAAATTGGCTGGGCATAGCCACCTTCTATTTACAGGTAAACCATTATGCTGCAGCTACCCAAAAAAAATCCAACATAGTCCTAAACTGCATTAACAGAGATATAGAATCAAAGATTATGTGAAGTGTTAATACCACTTCATAATACCTTGACAAGATCACACTTGGAATATTGCATCCAGTTTTGGTCGCCATACTATAAAAAAGTTGTTGAGGTCTAGAAAGACTAGAGAGAAGAGCAACAAAGATGATTAGGGGGCTGGAGGCTGAAACCTATGAAGAACGATTGCAGGAATTTGATATGTCTAATTTAATGAAAATGATAGTGTTCTAATATCTAAGAGGATGCCACAAAGAAGTGGGGGTCAACCTATTCTCCAAAGCACCTGAGGGCAGGACAAGAAGCAGTGGGTGAAGCTAATCAAGGAGAGAACAAACCTAGAACTAAGGAGAAATTTTCTGACAGAACAATTAATCAGTGGAACGACTTGCCTCCAGAAGTTGTGGGTGCTCCATCACTGGAAGTTTTTTAGAAGAGATTTGTCTGAAATGGTATAGGGTCTCCTGTTTGAGCAAGGGGTTGAACTAGATCTCCAAAGTCCCTTCCAACTCTGTTATAGCTTAAATAATACATATGTTTGTATGTCAAGTATAAAACTAAAAAAAGAAGAAGCTATAGGTCAATCTTCCTTCTCCTACTACAATGCTAGGGAGCACATTTTTAGATCCAGACTCACTTCATTTGAGTGGGTTGCAGCGGACTAAGCCCTAAGATAAACCTGTATGGCACTCATATCATAAATATATGTCTTATCTTCCACATCTATTATCCACTGGCTCCTCTGTTCCTTCTATCATCTATACTTCACTGCCAATGCCATCCAAGAAATACTCTCCTAGCCAAAAGTATAAGGTGAATGGAAGTTAAGGGTACAAATATTGTTAAAGCTGAGGGTAGAGCAGCTTGTTACTGTTTTTTTAACAATGCTGAGGAGCAGCAACAACATAAGAAAGCCAATGATAAGAACAGGGATATGCTTATTCTGCCCTATAGGACCACAGTATAGATTTCTTCAGATGACTGTTACCTGCAGAGCTGAGAATGACTTACTTTCTTTCTTTCTTTCTTTCTTTCTTTCTTTCTTTCTTTCTTTCTTTCTTTCTTTCTTCTTTTTTCTTCCTTTCTTTCCTTTCTCTTTCTCTTTCTTTCCTTTCTGTCTCTCTCATACACACACACACACACACACACACACATACACACACAGAGTCTTTGTAAAATACATGACAAGCTAGGTCAAAGGTCTGATAAAGCAGAAAAGGAGAAGGTAGGTAGATAGAATGACCTCTATGTCTTTATATTTTTAGAGTGAAGCAAAAAGCAAAACTCAAGACCAGCGGAGAGAAAAATTATCTCTAGACTGTTGTGCTGTGATGATTTTCCCTTTGAGGGAATCTGTATGTAAAGGAGCGTCAACATGTATGGCCTTCTCATCTGCTGTAGTTGTCAGCGTTATCATACCAAACATCCATCACTTCATTCTGTGTGGACCAGACATGAGAAAAAAAATTTGGACAAACAATTTGTTTCCTATACTTCCTCACTGTTACTTATTTCAGATCCAGATTATTCTGTAGTTTCACATACCTACTGAATACATATCTACCCATGCACACTGTGTAGATAAAAATGGCGGTTTTTTTTACCAGCAGCTACTGAAACAATCACATATAGATTCATATTGACAGAAAGTGAACAGTATAAATATCTGATCCAACAATTCCCTGTGTCATTTATCACAAATAAAAAATACACTCTCATAGATTAAAGGTTTAGAGGGGAGAGGAATGAGCATTTGGGGGAGGGGGGAATCTTTTCATTTTTCTTTTCAGTTCAACTGGAATTATATAATTTCAGTTTCCAGAACATATATTCACATGTACCCTGATCAAAATTTTTGCAGCTCCAAAAGAGAATGGGCTACAACTGATTAATTCACATAAATTTCAATCTACTCTCTTGTTTATTACAGGTGGTGGATCATATTGTCCCAGATCTTCTGATCTGGTTTCAAGAACTCTGCCATTCTCACCCGCCTCAAGTAATGATAACTATAACACACAATAATCTTTTCTGATGCATTCTTGTCATCAAAATAAACACAAGGTTATAATTTGAACATTGTTGAGGATACTCTCTAGAAACCAAGTTGTCTTTATAGTGCAACCCAAAGTATCTTTGCTCAAAATGGGACTTACAGGGCTAACTCCAGTCCCATTGTGAAAGTCTACTTCAGACAGTGGAACGAATTGGGCAAATTGGAGCCCAGTCACTTTGTGACTCCCTGTTGGTGCAGTCATCTCATCACACTTAAAACAGAGGTCTTCTGCTCCAGCTGATTACTGTTCAAACATTGCCTCCAGATCAGGGCACTGAGTGGGCTACAATTGTTGCTGCTGTGGACAGATGAGGCAGCCCTATAATATGTCATTTTGAGGATTCCCTCAATGACACATTCTGTCACATAATTCTGATGACCAGGAAATGTCTAGGGGAAGAGGAGTTAGGTGACCACCAGTGAAGGCATTTGCAGAAGTGGGAGAAAGGGGCTAGAAATGGATCCCTTGAGGCCACCCCTTGGGTCTTATTCTTAATTATGAAACATCACTGAAGCTTCACACAATCTTGTTTCCACTGAATCATGCTTGGGATTGCACTGCAAGGATAACTTGTATTTTGGTTACCATCTCAGTGCTATTCAGTGTTGTGACTCATTGTGTTATACCTGTGGTAGTGCAAATCACATGTGAACAACGTAATATTGGTTAATATTTTAAAATATACAATAAGTGGTGTCCTTTTGTGATGATCCTGTAATAAATAATGTTGAAATAACACTATTTCTAGGACAAGAGGTATGGAGTCCTATATCATGAGAATATAATTTAGTATCAGCAGACTGACTGGTTTGAATATGGCTTCATGAGAACTTATTTCAGAGTTAACTTACACAATCCTATGCTCATTTATGAGGAAGGTCCATGAATTTAGTTGGACTTGCCTTTCTGAGTAAACATGCATAGGATCAATCCAAAAGCTCTCCCTTCAGAAATCAAAAACAATATAAATTCATGTTCACAGTTACAATGAATGAGCCACAACAGGATATTAAACAAGACACCAGTCAATTAAGCAGAAAGCATTGATCATATATTCCATAATGATCCTTGGCCATGACACAGGGTATTTCAACAGACAAGTCACAAAACCACACGCTGCACAGAATGTTCACTTTAGATCCCCTTCAGTTTCTCCTTGAATTGACTTTTTAATGCGGAGTAACATGGTTGTGAGCCATTGATCCAAGCGGGATATTGAATCAAATTCTTTAATCTAGTTAGAGGTAAATGATCAGGTGAGGTAGTGTCAGCACAGAATTCACGTTTTTTTTTCTTTTTATGCGATTTTAAGAACTTTGCCCAAGAGGAAAACTATAAATATACGACCATCATTCAGTTACCCAAAATTAGAAGCAAGCAGAAAAGAATAACTGCATATTGCAAAACCATTTTCAACACCATCAACCCACTGATTTGAGCAGCTTTAAGAATCTGGGGTGAGAAAAACTGCCAAGTGAGTCAAGTTTTTCAGCTTCCTTTTTACCTCCCCCTTGGAAGAATAATTTCCTACTGAAGGAGGAGTGAGACTGCGTTACACCTGTTCTTATGACCATCTAGAATACAAAGCACCCAAGAAGAATAATGGGCTATTTGAGGAAGAACAGAGTTAGTTTTCCAGATTTCTCCTCTCAGCCACCAGCAGGCTGACAAATACCACTGCAGACTAACTGCACGCTTCCATATAAGGCTGTTTCCCTTTGAGGCTATAAGTGAATGATGCTTGATTCCTGGCAATCATTCACACACAATCCCAAGTTCTTCTCCCCATTCGACCCTAAATAGCCCAGAAATTAATAACTAGACAGTATACATGTCCCACTGAGAAAAGATAGCGGAGTATTTTGACACAATGAATTTTCCATGAAATAAGGCAGCAATTGGAAATGGATCTCCCAACATGCCCGGCCCTACTTTAGCACTGATACCATTTATTTAATTGATTAAGAAATTTTAAATTTAATTTATTCAGAAAATTTAAATACCAAGGCAAAGTATGATGGTATCATCATCAAAATATTGCACATAATCCTCTCACTCCAAGTTCTACAAGTCAAATTGAGTTAGATTCAAATCAAATTAGCTCCCTTGAAATCAGTGAAACGAGTTAGTTATAATTTCAAAGCCAACTGCTTTCAGTGGAAACTAAATTTTACTGAGGGTGCATCTGATACCCATTTAACTTAAGACCTGCTGAATTCCAACCAAATGTGCATCAGGTTGGACTGTAATTTGATGCCTCTGTTGCTTTATTGCAGCAGTTGCCTGGTTGTGGTTCAAAAATCCTCATGAGACAAAAAGTTAACATTTTTCTTATCTAAAACTCAGTTCAAATGTTTAATTAAAATAATAGATCTACTTACTGCTTCAGTGTATGCTTCGCAATTTTGTTCTTCATGAGCTTCCAGTAATTTCTAGCAAGACAATATAACAAGGTTACCAGCAAAAATGATCTTTTTACTACATTTTTTATGAAAGAACTCTATTTATATTCTTTAAAAGTAAAAAAAGACTGCATTATCTGAAGAGACATTTTATAAAATATCTAATTATTGGGAGCCTTCAACTAGAAAAAACCATTCATATCAAATTCTCCCCCCCCCCCCAGTCCTATTCAGACTATTGAATCTGATATCTTGCTTAAAGTGCTTGCAGTTATTCCCACATATATATTCAGAGATTGTGACCTCATAATGTTATAGTTATAGGCAGTGGAATGGGGAAGGCCACCCTGTTCTGAGATTCTAGCTGACTGTAGATTTCATTGTGATCAGAGAGAGAGCAAGATTCAGGCATGAAGGGAAGGCCCACAAAGTACCTTCATCACAATGAGGTCCCCACAGTAGATTTACAGATAAGCATTTACAGGTAAGATATGAGCAGCGCCAACCCAGACTTTTGAGAAAAGTATTCAAGAATTCTACTTGAGGACAATTCCACTACAGTATGCATTGATTCCATATCAATGAAAAAGGAAGAGGATGAAGCTTGGAAGGAGAAGCTGCCCCAGCATGGAAATGGCAAGAAGGGAAACACATTATTATTATTGTTTTTTTATAAATACTTCTTCGGGTGCTCTCTTACTAGAGCAGGGATTATACAGTAGCCCAGTATATTAAAGTTCCTTTCATATAAGGAAAAGTAAATTAAACAAGAACAGAGTATAGCTTGGAAATTACAATAGACCAAAAGAGGTGAGGAACTTCAAATCATAGAATTGAAGAGTTGGAGAACACTTAATACAATCTTTGGCTCATTATGAGAATCCATAATTACAGCATCCTTGACAGATGGTCATCCAGCCTGTTTCATCCCTCAAAGGGAAGGTTCAACAGCTTTAAGACAGCCTCTAATTTATAAAGACCTTTCTAAAACATAGCATTCATAATTGAACACAATATTCAGGATGTATCTGACCAACCCCAGAATAGAGCAGGACAATTTATTTTTATTTTGACACTATTGCTGATACAGCCTAAGCTTGCTTTTTTTTTTAGCACTGATCTCACACCTTTGGTTCATGTTCAGCTTGTTACAAAGATACCTAGATATTTTTGACATGTTGTTCACTGCTATCTGTCAACTTCTCTATCTAGTAGTGTCTCTTAACCTACATTCATGTCAACGAACACATAACATAGCCCTATGGTATGGTCTGTCTCTCTGCCTATCCATCCATCTAGCTATCTATATCTATCTATCATCTATTTATGTCTGTCTGTCTGTCTCTATCTACCTACCTACCAGTATCTATCTGTCTGTCTGTCTGTCTATCTTCATCATCATCTACTTTATCTCACTTTTAACTCTTAAATTGCACTTCTTCTAACTTCTGGAAAATGAATTGGAGAGCAAGATCAATGAGGCATTATTGGCATTTTCTTGTATTGGCTGTTAGCTTTGCATAAATATCCATATATTTGAGGATTCTAATAATTATGATGCCTTTCTTCTCCTAAGTATCTGTAAACTAATCCAGGAAGATATTTAGCAGATCTTCTGCAAGGATTGTCTATTAGTAATAACTCCCACCCTTCCTAACATCTTTGGTGCTTCCCACCCATGAGTTTTCACAAAAATACTCTTGACTGGACCCTCAACATGAATCTCAATATATATATGTGCACTGTTTTCACATATGCCACTTCTTCCCCCCTTCTGTCTGGCCTATTCCTTTTGAATAGTTTTATCCTTCAATCCATGCATTTCATTTACAAGTCTTTAGCAATGCTTCCTAAATTATATTTGCCTTCCTGCATTCAAAATTTTAGTTCTTCCTGTTTCCCTATGCTATGCATTTATAGAACCACAAGGAATCCTTGGCGCACATGACTTGACTTTTCTGGAAGTTTTTTTAAGAAACATTTAAGACTGCCATTTGTTTGAATTGGTATAAGGTATAGGGCAGGGGTGAAATCCAGCAGGTTCTGACCGGTTCCGGAGAACTGGCAGTGGAAATTTTGAGCAGTTCGGAGAACCGGCAAGTACCACCTCTGGCTGGCCCCAGAGTGGGGTGGGAATGGGGATTTTGCAGTATCCTTCCCCCAGGAGTGGGGAGGGAATGGGGATTTTGCATACCTTTCTCCTGCCATGCCCACCAAGTCACACCCACAGAACCAGTAGTAAAAAAATTTGGATTTCACCACTGGTATAGGGTCCCCTGCTTGGGTGGTGGGGTTGGATTGAGGAACCTCCGACATTCCTCCTAACTCTGATACTGTGTCCTGTTATTCTGTTATTCTTTCTATGATCATGTGAATCCAACCCATCAAGCCCAAATAAAGTTCTGAATGGTATAGGATCTCCTACCACAGGCAGAGGGTTAGACTAGAAGACCTCCAAGGTCCCTTCCAAACCCTTCTATTCTATGTTCTATATCCTGTCTTGTTTTTATATACTCATTATTAAGTGATTCTATCACTCCATCCTAACCACTCTTCCCAGTCCCAGCACTTCTAAACTGCAGCCCATCTCTAGTCAGAAGTCCCCTATTTCAGAAACGCAGTCCAGTGAATCCAAGTTGTTCATTTGAAGTATTCTTTCTTTGCTAGGAAAGAATGAAGCAAACACCAACTGTTCCTCCAACATAACTTTTCATGAATTAGTTCCTTGTAGTTTCTTCAAGCCTATGTAATGTATTCCCATGTGTATTACTAGGACGGGAAATTTGTTAGAGGAGCTAAAGAATCTTGGGAATTCTTCCATCATGTTCCAAAAGAAGAGCATTGAAAATAACCAGCTTCTTTATGTTTTATAAGATCTTTTAGTGAATGGTTCCATCCATTTGAAGAGTTCCAATGGAATAACGAGAGATGTTCTGCCTCCTGATTTGCAGGGATTTGAAATTATCCTGATGTCAGTCCTGGAGCCATTTTCCCCTGGCACCAGTGGTGAGTTTCAAATTTTTTTACTACCGGTTCTGAGGGTGTGGCTTGGTGGGTATGGCATGGCTTGGTGGGCATGGCAGGGGAAGGATACTCCATTCCCTCCCCAATCCAGGGGAAGGTTACTGCAAAATCCTCATTACCTCTTGATCAGCTGCGACTTGGGATGCAGAGACTAGATGGGGGCGGGGCCAGTCAGAATTTTTACTACCGGTTCTCTGAACTACTCAAAATTTCTGCTACCAGTTCTCCAGAACTGGTCAGAACCTGCTGAAACCCACCTCTCCCTGGCACCTTCAGAGCTGCCACAGTTGGGTTTCCCCAGATGTGCCAATATGATGTGCCTAATAAATCTATACTTTGAGGAATATGCCTGCCTTGGGAGTTTTGATTCCGTTGGGTGTTACTTGGAACCCTGACACCTGAAACATCTTTCACATAGCTAATGTTTAAATCAGACCAAGAAATAACTTGTTACTTTCTAACATGTAAATTGAGATGGTCATTCTTCCTCTCTTTTCACAGTGTGACCATAACCCTCCATCACTGTTTAATATACATCAATTCTGTTTTCAACACAATAAAAAAGCATGCTGTTTCACTTACTTTCAATAATTTACATTCTCTTGAATCTGTGAATGCTGGGAACATTTCTTCATATTTCTCAAGAGCCAGCTGAAAAATAGTAACTGCATTTACTTCGCATCAAACAGGTGATCTCATAATAGAGGTTTTCTCAGAAAACTAGCCAACTTTGCCATGTCGAACAGACATTCAACAGCATGACATACACAGGTTATGCTCAAACGAAGTCAGATGTTCTGATGAATCTGAGTGGCTACATATGTGCCTTTCTGTAAAGTGACAAATTGGGATATTTTAGGATTACACTAAACCATATTTAACAAGAGAAAGCCTCCCAATATGTTTTTCAGAAATGAAACTGCATGACATGTTCTTCATCTGAGGAATAACAGGGAAGATAGTGTCAGCTACCCTAGGTGGACCGGATCAAATCCACAAGAAGGCTAAATTTATTTTTATTGAGAGTGGCTATAACAACAGAATTGTGCAGATCTGATTGTGCTGAATCGCCTCTTTCTTCTTGTATTTCAGTGAATTAGGAAGGCATCCATCTGAGCTGCCTCTTAATACTATACAGTATATCTATTGTGGACTTAAAATATGTTTCACCCCTCATCACTTTGGTAAAAAAAAATTTTGCATATATCTCTGTCAAGGCCATCTTCCTTAATCCCTACAAAGAGATTGCTTAAACCTGTCCAATCCCACAATTAGTCCACTAAAAGTCACTCAAGCTGCTTTTTTCTGCTCAGAAAAAATACTGTGAAGTCCGTATCTACAGTTTATGTTAAACATGAGGCTTCCAGCATATTCAATTGTTTTCAGCAAATATGGCCTTGCTGTCAATTCCAACATCTATTGTCTGAAATAATGAAAATGTGGAACATTGTTTTTGAATCGATTTGTTTTGTATTGAATTTGAAACTATGGGTCCATATTTGCAAATGACAACTCTGATTCTAACAGGCACATAAAATTGTCGGCTAAATCATATGGAAAGTTCTTGTGGCACTCCTATGTTTACACTGGAATGCACAGAAAGGTATTCAGTTTAGAAAGCAGAACTTCTGTGATGTTTCATGCAATAAGAGCAGGCATTATTGATAGTATGTAATTAATAAAATATTTTGTTTATTTTTGGGATATTATGGCATTCTGATCTCTATAATTGTAGTACATAAAAAAACCCTGCACTAACCTTTGCATTCAATTCGTCGACAATAAAGTGACATAAAGCTGCTTTAAAGAAGTAGTCCTTTGCGCTGTGCTTAAGCAATGGATTATCCATTGTACTTGTACCAATCTAAGGAGATAAAAATTACATTTATAGTTGATAAAGTATGAAAAAGCAGAACATGGTTGAAAACAGTATTTTAGTTCCTTGAGAATACGTTTTCTCATTTTTGATATTTTCCCACTACGTATTTTCCTACTACAAAAGGACCCGTTTTCCACAGTTCCCAAATGTCACATTGTTCCTTAAATGTAAGACCTGACATTGTAAATACTTTTTTAATTTTATAACACATTTTCCCACAACAGGGATTTACATATATTGAACCTCATGCTCGTTATTGCTTGGCAAAAGCTCAACAAGCAAATAGATATCTTCAAGTGTTTCATCCTAGCCAGGAAATTCTTATCACTTCATCACTTACATTCATACTAGATATTAAAGCAGTTTGTAAGGATAACTGGATTTTCAGATTTTAAAATAACTCCAGAAGGTTTTAAACATTGGAAATACTGCATAATAATAACTCCCATGATTTATTTCCTGCAAGAATCGTTTTCTTCTTTGGCTCCAATTACCCAAAGTAATAATTGTGCTTCAACTCTTAATGCTAGAAATCTTTTTTCCTGAATTATTATGCATATACATGTAATACAGGTCTTCTTTCCACATATACCTTGAAATGATGTATGTTGTAAACTGAAACTTCTCTGATGGTTTAAATTCGAAGAAAATCAGTCCAGTTGCTTCACTTTGCAAACTGCAGAAGGTTAGTGCTTTGGGTTCCCAGTGAACGTAGCCAACTGACCAGTTGAAAAAAATGATCCGCCCCCTGGAAGCTCCATTTTGGCTGTACATGGGCTGGGGGAGGCCCAGGGAAGCCTGAGTGGAGGTTGGAGGGGTGAATCTGCCCGCTGGAAGCTCCATTTCGGCCTGCAAAGGGCCAGGGGAGGCTCACAGAGGCCCAAACTGAGGGGAGGATTCACCCCTCGGAAGCTCCATTTCAGCCAGCAATGGGCCAGGTGAGGCCTGTGGAGGCCCGAATGGAGTATTGGAGGGGCCATGCAGCTGAGAGGATTCACAGAAGACTGCTTGCTAGATCTTCACAAGGTAAGTGATGCAGCGTGGCAGGTTGGGGTGGGGTGGGGGGTAAAGCAATTGTGGGGAGCATGAAGAATTTCAGTGGGTCAGGGAGGCCTTGGACTGTTCCCTCACTAGGTTCCCCCCCATGGCCTTCCCCACCCTGAAATACTTCATGTGCACTTAACGAGCCTCGCATTCGATTAGTGAATGTGTGGGCAAAAGGAGGGAGTGATCCCATTCAAAGTATGAGATCCACTCCCACGAATCCTCGGGTTATAAATGGAATGGGCAGGCTCCATACAAGGACTACCTGTAATTGATTTTAGTTATGAAGATGAAATTTCTTAAGAAATGTTTAGTGTCTTAAAATGAATGTTAAAGAGTTTTCCCTTTAAGGTTAAAGAATTTGAAAGATTATATAGATTTTTGTTAATATAAAGGTTGATAGTTTAGAAAGATTAATAGGTGTAAGTAGAAATATATCTCATTTCCCACAACAGGGAAAAAAACCTTGATTTGGTTAAGAAGGCTATGTAAACTGCTTTAAACAAAGATATTTTATTTGGTCTTGTTTCTTTTTGGGATATCGCTTCTGGTTTTTATGCTTGAAATAGGAAAAAGTGAAATATAGAATTTAGTTTGAAGATTCAATAGTTATATAGTTATAGAACTGGCTTGTAATAATTATAGCTATTTTAAAAAGTTGAGATCATGAATGTATTAGTATTATACTGTTTGGAAAGAGTCAGAAGTCAACATCTTTTGCAATAGTGGTGAATGCCTGTAGCTCAAGTGTAGGATGAGGATGACGGTTCGTTCTCCGAGCTTGTGGGTTGGTTTCCGAACGTTTTGTTACCAGGCTAGGTAACATCTTCAGTGGTGTTTATGGGATGACAGCATCAGTGTCCTGTTTAGAGGGGTTCAGGTGTGTCAAGTGAGGGTCTGTCTCACCTGTCACAAGACCTTCACTTGACAGACACACACCTGAAGCCCTTATAAACAGAACATTGACACTGACATCCCCTAAGCTCTGCTGAAGATGTTATTTAGCCTGGTAACAAAACGTTCGGAAATCAACACACAAGCTCGGAGAACAAACTTTTACCCTCATCAACATCTTTTTCTCTCTCTCTTTTTAATTTTTTTTATCCTGCACTCCCCCAATTTTTAATCTTTATTTTCATTGTATTTTATGCTGTAATAATAAACTTTAATAAAATTTCTTTTTTAAAAAAAGGTTACTGCTTTGATTAATTTGTATTCTGTGGCTCTGATTTACAGTTCTCCTTTAACAAACCAAATGGTAGTGTACTTACCTGTTCAAAAATTTCAGTTGCTTTCTGATATTGCTCCAACTGGGCAGCATATATAGCTACCTTCAGCAGACACTTGTTGGCAGAGCTACAAGCAAAAGGCATAATGAACTGAAGAGCACAGAAATACAGGTAAGAAAATCAAAACGTACCCCTGTCTGGTGGCACTCTGGCTAAAAGGATCTGACCTTATTTGAGTAAAGATTCATTTTGTTGATATTCATACAGAGCCATCTTCTGATATTTCTGTTCTCGCTAGCGAATTTTCAATTATCATGAGAATAACATTTCTGGACTCTGTATTTTAATATCACAATTGTCAAGCAAATAGAATGCTAAACCAAAAGTTGTTTTAGGATCTGAAAGTTTTTTTAAAGCGTAAGTAAGGGAATCATAAAATTTCATGTCAGTCACACAAGAAAAAACAACAACCCCAAAACAAACTAGAATGAATATAGAGTTAGACAATCAGCACTAAGATTGTCTTTTATGGAAACTTACCTGTTAGATTCTTCCCCTTTATAATAGTCTGCAGATTGTTCATAGTGGGCGATGGCCTAAAAAGAATTCAACATATCCATTTTCAACATTATACTTTGACATTGTGGTAATAGATTAGACAGATTCAGGCCATTTCATTACTGTATTACTGTAGGGATTTACAACATTTTCACGGTATCGCCCAGCCATCGCTGGAGTGAGATAAAACCTGTCCACACCACTTTTATGATGTTAAGATGCTAACAGCATCCAAGTTTACAGACGGTAAATTCAAGATCAAAATGTTGTTTTTCAAAACAGATGGGAAACTTTTCACATACCATATTTTCCGCTCCACAAGACACACTTTTTTTCCTCCCAAAAGTGGGTGGAAATGTCTGTGCAACTTATGGAGCAAATATGGGCGACAGACAGCAGCGACAAATGACGGCAGCAATCCCCGCCACTTGGAACAGCTGATTGGCAGTATTCCAGGAGGCTGATCCAACCACCAATCAGCTGCTTGGAGGCAAAGGCTCCAGTGTCCCCCGGGTGGAGGCAGCAGACACGGAGGAGGCAGGCTGTTTGCTGCAAGGATGCTAGCCAGATGAATACCAGATGGACGCTAGGAGTCAAAGGCAGATTTGTTTTTTTCTTGTTTTCCTCCTCTAAACCTAGGTGCATCTTATGGTCAGGAGCATCTTATGGAGTGAAAAATATGGTATATACATATGAAATTATTCCTTTCCTGTTTCATTTACTATTTCGATAATTTCATTTACCATACATCCATACAGTGAGAGAATTGATGAGTTAAATCCATGAATTAAAAGTAAATGATCGTTAAATGACACTCTGCGATCACCAGAGTCTTTCATTTAGTGGAAGAAAAAACACTTGGACAGTAGCCATGAAACATGAAGTGATGGGCTTCCTCAATTCTTCCAAATTTAATGGCACCTCCTCGAAGTATGATTAGGAATTAAACCCAAACCCTTTCAGATAAACACATTGGCTTACCTTTTCAATGTCTACCAGCTCAGATTCATAAATCTCTGCAATAGTAATGTGATGCTTGGCAGCAATAGTAAATCGGCCCTGAGAAGAGAAAAGTTTGGCCCGATGTGAAAGGGGGCAAGCAATGAATAGAAACTGAATACAATTTGAGCTCATGACAACACCAATAGGAAAGGTTGTAAATTGGAATCCCAACCTAGCACTTCGGGTGTCTTACCATGTCTGTGTAAATATCGATGGCAGCATTTAAGCAGTTGATAGCCTCTGCATTGGATGCATTTGGAGGAAAACAATGAATACGATCAACTCAGGCATCCAAACGTAATCATTTTGTCAGTGCAAGAAAGTGGACGGTTTGTATCAGCACATTCAACAACTAGATTCTCAGCTATTTTTCTATACAACATCCGCTGAAGACAAACCTTCTTCATCTTTTCCTGCCAGCATTGCAGACTGCAGTTTTGTAGGATATTCATTCATTCATTCATTCATTCCATTCCATTCCATTCCATTCCATTCCATTCCATTCCATTCCATTCCATTCCATTCCATTCCATTCCATTCATATATGATGAAGTCTCAAAGTCCACCAAGTGAAAACAGATGCAAAAACATACACCAAAGAATTGTATATTCAAAGCTCTGTTTTGAGTGCTGAAGAGGAATAAATGTCATAGTCTTTCTACACAAAAAAAATAATCCTAATTCCTAACTCTCTTTATTTCAGTGATTTAGTTTTGGGCAACAGAAGGACACAAAATGTGGAGTGAGAAACCTTTGCTGCAAATCATAGAGAAGTCAGTAGTCAGATCCAGACCTACATGCTCTGTTCTTGCTCCTATACAATAATGCCTTTAAGGAATTGATGCTGTGGTGTGATAGGTTTCTAGTTTCTAGAGTTTCTCTAGAAAGCAAGGTAGTCCTTAATGACCCATTGCTTAGCAACTGTTCAAAATTATGATGGACCTCCCAAAAGGTACTTACAAGCCAATTTCAAAGTTCGGGTGGCTGCACCACTACCACTCCCCCACAAGTTGCATGAACACATTTTGGGTACTTGGAAACTGGCTCACCTGTATACAGCCACTTGCAGCGTCATGCGGTCAAAGGCTGCAATTTTCAACATTTTTTGCCAGCTTCCAGTGTTTACTTCTCAAAAGAAGGAAGAAGGAATGGCAAAATCCAGGGCAGAGTGAAAAGAGGGATCAGCCTAGAATCCCTATATAGGCACAAAGTCCCTTTGAATGCCATTGTCCCTTATCTGACAGTTAGTTGAGGTGCTGACAGTTAGTTGAGAAGATGCATGTGCATAGGCTTTTAGTAATAAATCAGCTTAATTGAAGTTTCACGTGTGGTCCTGGTCTTTTGCACCTGAGAGTTACCCGCTTAATGACCGCAATCACTTATGACCATAATCCAGTCTCCGTTATGGTCGTTAAGTCGAGGACTACCTGTAGGTCATTGGAAAGGACTGCTTGGTAAACTCAAAAGGGACCTGAGATCTCCATTCCCATGACTGGAGACACCTGCGGGAATTTGACACCTGTCTTCCAGCCTTTGGGTCTTTCCATCAGAATTTCTGTGTTTTAAAAAAGAAAGTCTTCTCTTTAAATTGAAAATATGTGTGTATGGCTCTTCTTGAATCACATGCAGAAGGTTTAGCATGTGATAATTCATTAATTGTGATTTTGTCTGTTTCTATTGTGTTCCGAGTTCTTTTCCAGATCTTTTTGAATGGCATCAAGTTTTATTGTTTTTGTTATTCTATAACTGTGAGCTTGCCCCATTCCATATTCAGAACAAGGAGAAAACAGATACTGCACAGTGAAACATAACCATCATGTGTAAATCCAGTTTAGATTAGAACTTTAATATAAGTAAGAGACATGTACATTAAGTAGTATTGTCCAACCTGTTGCCTTCTGTTTTACCTCTACAGATCTTGAAATTCCAATGCAATGAAAGCCCAAAAGCCCAGTATACCACAAGTGAGTTATGACCTTAATGGAGTCTGCCCATAATGGTTGTAACTCGTGACGATGGTAAAACTGATTTTATGACCCTTTTTGTAGTGGTCATTAAATGAACACCACGTTCAAATGAACACAGCAGGTATTAAGCAGATCAATGGTTCACTGCTGAAATGCTGATTTTCAGCAAAGACCTCATAAAACGCAGTCATGTGACTGCAGGACACTGCAAATGGCTCTAAATGTGCCTGGTTGCCAAGTGACCAAAGTGTGGTCACATGACTATGGGGGGGGGAATGATCATCATGAATTCATAAGTACACCTCCTGGTAGATCTATTAGAACTTCAAACAGTCACTAAGCGACCAATCATATGTCAAGGACTACCTGTATTCCGTTGAAGTATGCATAATAATGTTATGTCCAAATTAATGTATGTGTATGTATATGTATATGTATATGTATATGTATATGTATATGTATATGTATATCTATATGTATATCTATATCTATATATATCTATATCTATCTATCTATCTATCTATCTATCTATCTATCTATCTATCTATCTATCTATCTATCTATCTATCTATCTATCTACACACACACACATACACACCCAAAATTATATCTCATTAATCTCCTACTTCCTCCTAATTTTCTATCATAATCTTTTTAATCCTATAATTTACACTTTTAATTCCTCATGAACTGGCAGGACAGAGTTAATGATCACCAACATATTTAGGTGTACATTAGCCAAACAGATTTAGTTGGGGTGGGGGGGAACCACAAAAGCATTTTTCTTAATCATATTCAAGAGGAAAGAAAATTGAGAAGACATATACTACATTATACCATTATCCATCATGGCAAATGAACAACTTCATATAATGTGAATATAATGTGAGTCAGTATTGATACAGCACTCCATTGATCTCAAAGCTCTTTAGATGCTTTCAGGATTATTTATGTTGATCTGAACAATAGAGAGTTTGTTGTTTTTCTCTGGAACTTTATTTCTTTTAGCACATCCTTATAATCAGAGATGTTCCTATCTATCTTGCTTATCAAGAAGAAACATCACAAGGAGGCCACTCTGCCCCCAGTACACCTTACCTTGAGGATCTGCCTTTTTGTAAGCGTTCCCTGCGTCAACGAAGCAGGTGGCTGAATCGTGTTTACTCTGCAACTGCATGTGGAGTTTTGCTGCCTGACAAAAGGCATTCCCTGCAGCTGAAAGAGAAACAGGGGAGCATTTTAACATCAAAAGTAGACATTTGAACCAGAAACAAGCACTTCTCCCAATTCTCTCTCAAAAAAGAATTTAAGGAAATGTAACTGAAAATCTACCAGGGGGTTCCTTCATTGGAGTGTTGCTTCTTTTGACAAAGATAAGGAGCCTTGCATTATTTCCACGTTTCCCTACCTGCTTCAGCCACACGGCTGTTCAATTCAGCCAGAGTGCTTTAAATCCTCTCTCTTGAGATGATCAGTTTCTCTAACTAAATGGAAGGGAAATCAGAGGCATTGGGTTTGTTCAGTCTTTTCTTTTCGGCCAGAATTTTAAGTGGATGAAAAGTAAGTTGTGGTTTGGCTACATGGAGATTCCATTGTTTAGATCAGTGGTTCTAAACTTTTATGAATTAATGGCTTAATATTGAATAGAGCAGTAGTTTCTGTAGCACATTAGAAACAGAATGGAATAGGAATAGGAATGGAATAGGAATAGGAATAGGGAATAGAATAGAATAGAATAGAATAGAATAGAATAGAATAGAATAGAATAGAATAGATAGAATAGAATAGAATAGAATAGAATAGAAATAGAATAGAATAGAATAGAATAGAATAGAATAGAATAGAATAGAATTCTTTATTGGACACACAGGGAATTTGTCTTCGATGCATAAGCTCTCAGTGCACATAAAAGCTATGTGATAAATCATGATCATAGTCATAAAAATACACTAATCATAAATCATAAGATACAACACTTATGATTTATGATTAGTGTATTTTTATGATGACTATGATCATGATTTATCACATAGCTTAGTGTTGTATCTTATGATTTATGATTTATAATAATTTATGATTTCAAAACTATTAATACATATTTTTAAACATGTAAGGCAGGGATCCCCAACCCACGGCATGCCAGCAACTGGACCGTGCAAACAAGCGAAGCCCCATCCGCACACAAAACCACATCCGGTCCATGGAAAATACTTTCTCCAAGGAACCGCTCTCTGCTGCCCAAAGCTTTGGGAGCCACTGATGTAAGGCATGGTTCACAAGCTAAACTTTTTAAAATCCAGCATTGTATTGAATATGCGGATAGTGCAGAATACATATAAGCCCCCAAAATAGAAAAAAGTAAGATCTTTTTTTCTTGTGGCACACTACAAACAAATCCATGGCCTATCTTTGTGCTGTGGTGTGCTAGTTGAGAATCACTAATTTAGATAAAACAGCGACTTCTATTGTTAGGGGGACACATTAATTATCCTATAGCAAACCTTCAGAAATATATTAGTAGTTCATAAAGACAACCCAAAAGAGAACTGTTCAATGAAATTAACAGTTGTGCAACCAATTTTCCTATACATTTACTTAAAACAAAGTAATGGCGAAAATATCACTCCTCAATTTGTATACCACGGAGTTGAAAATACAGTATGCATAATAATTTCTGAGGAGGCATGAATCACTATTTCATTTTGGGGGGAAAGGGACTGGGTTATCAATGAAAAACAGAGAAAGGCAATTTACTGTATGCAGAGATGGATGGGTTTTAAAGTTCAACGCTAGTGAGTCACAACTTGAAATATCAGATAAAGCAGCTAAATCCCCAGCTTGTGATCACTTCTATATGCAATTAAGGCATGTTATTTCAGGACAATGACTTTGGATTAATCCCTTCGGCTATTGCAACTGTATCTGAATTTTCTACAGGAAGACTGAGGGACCTATAACCCAATCCTCAGTAGCTCTAATCAGCATGGCCATTCTTGAAGGGTATTGAGAACTGAAGTCAAACAATATCTGAAGGATTGCAGTACCCTCCACCCCTGTTGTAGTGTCCTTTATATTTATAAAGAAGATAAAAATGTCTATATATACCACTCCAGTTTTTGGCTATCTTGAACATATTTGCAGCTCTTGTGTACATTTCACATGCTTCTTCAAGCTTTGAATTTCCTCTAGGAGAAACAAAAGGAGACACAGAAGTAGTAGATACTGTTGCATTATGAAACAGCCAAATATGAAACATATTCAAAGAATACAAAGAAAAGTTGACAGAATAAACAACAGAGAAACCAGTTCCCCATAAATAGTGCCTACTGCAAGCAAACAATCATTGGTTTTGTTAATGCATCGGAAGCTGAATTGTGCATAGTGAATACCCGAGAAAGCCAGAGACCTTTGACTCTTTACTAATACTCCCTCCTGACACAATCATGCTTTTTTTGTCTCACATACACATACATGTTACTTGAACGGATCCAATCACAGCAGCATGCAGAAAACTGGATTGAGGAACCACTCTAGAAGAGAATATGAGATTGTTACCACTTCAGTACTAACAAAATAGAGCCAGATCAATACCGTGTTTCCCTGAAAATAAGACCCTGTCTTATATTTTTTTGAACCCTGAAATAAGCGCTTGGTCTTATTGCCATGCGCTCAAAAGCTCGATTGGGTTTATTATCAGGGGATGTCTTATTTTGGGGGAAACAGGGTATTAGGTCTAAGAAGTCGAACTAGAAAGGGGGAGAGTTAGGTTGAAATCCCCCCTCAACAGAGCTTCTGGATAATATTGGGCCAGCCATTTTCTCTGTCCAACCTACTTCATACAGTTGCTGCTATAAGTATAAAATGGGATGTAAATAAATACATAAGTACTGGGCAAGATGCAGTGTTCCCAGAAAGAGAAAAATGAGAGTCATCATTACATAGTTGCTATTAAATAGAGCTTTAATGTTATAGTAGCCTCTTTCCAAGTGAACGTAAAGATACTAAGAAAGTCCATAAAGCTAAATTGGTCATTTATATTAAGTGAGAAGCTGATCTATTTATAGATGAGATTGTTCGGAAAGTGATTATACAATTTAAAAAAATCACTGGAATTATTTAACAAACACAAAGAATGAAGTTTATCCTAACTTTGGGGTTCGGGGGCAATATTCCTATTAGCTTGCCAATCTGGAAATTAAAAAAAATAAACATCTACTGCATTATACAGGTAGTCCTCAACTTACAACCACAATTCAGCCTAAAATTTCAGCAAGACATTGGTTAAGTGAGTTTTGCTCCATTTTACAACCTTTGTTGCCAGAGTGGTTAAGTGAATCACTGCAGTGGTTAATAACATGGTTGTAAAATGAATCAGGCTTCCCCGCTGACTTTGCTTGTCAGAAGGTTGCAAAAGGTGATTACATGACCTCATAAATACACGGCAGTTGCCAAGCATCTGAATTTTGATTATGTGACCACAGGGATGCTGCAATGGACAAAAGTATGAAAACGGTTATAAGTCACTTTTTCAGCGCCGTTGTAACTTCAAATGGCCACTAAACAAATGGTTGTAAATCAAGGACTATCTGTACTAATAAGTGTACCTGCAGACAGTTCTAATTTTATTCCATAAGTATACAATGAGGGGAAAAGGTTTATAGCAGATAAACAAGTATTTTCTCAGTCACAAATTTTGGTGAGAGAATCAGTGTGATTCAGAAGATGAGAAGGAATGGATGGAATATGATGATTACACAGAGTTAATGGGCCACCTTATAGTATATGCATGGGATATGATACGGTGGTAGGGAAGCTACAGCTTGCTTGCTTGATGTTTTCCACAGGGCCCTTAAGATCCAGTTCTTATTCCAGCTGTTGGGCTATGGTGGTTGAAATCCCCTTATGGATGTATAATATGTTTATGGTATTAACTGGATTGGCCAGCTTTTTATTGTTATATGCACTCTTTTTATTGTATTTTTGTGTGACGGTATTCAGGAATGACCTTGGGAGATAGAGGGAAAAACTGCAGCCTAGACAACCATCAAACAAAAGGTATTTCAGCCCATAGGAGGAGGCAAGGAAAGCACCTCAGAAGGGACCCTCCCACATTTTCTGAAAAGTAAAAAGCAAAGAAGCGAAGAGGTTCTTTCAGACATGATTCTCTTACTATAATCTTACAACAAATTTAGTGTTAATACAGGTAATCCTTGATTTACAACCAGAATGGAGCCTGTAATTTACATCATAATTCATGACTGTTATAAGTCACCACACCCACATGACCAATCTTATTTTACAACACTGGTTTTTTGCAAGAGTCATAAAGCGAGCCAATGTCATGTGACCACGGAATGCGGCCACCGGCCGTAAGAGTGAGTTGGTTGCCAAGGCACCTGAAATGCAATCATGTGATGATGAGGTGTGTTTGTGTGTGCCACCATCAGAAAACTTGAAGTACCTTTTTGGGGGGGAGAGGGTTTCATCATGACTTCAAATGGTTGCTAAGCGACCGTTAAGCAAGAACTATCTGTACTCAAAGTTGATGCTGGACTTGTCTTGTTCTGAACTTCCTTGAAGGGCTGACCATTTCTTGTTTTGTTTTTATGCTGTGAGCTACTCAGAGTCGATTAAAGTTAGGTGCTACCTATGATGAATTGTATACTTTTTAATTAAAGATAAGTTATATTCTGGCTCAGAACGGTAGGAAACCATGTTGTTGATTTTCAGCAATAATTTTACCAATCTTCAGTGGTGCTGTTACAGGGAAGCATAAAAAGAGATGAAAGTCTTCATGTGGCTGTATATGATGGGAAATAGGAATAACCTTGAGGAACAGGAGGAAGAGCTGAGGCTTCCCAGGGCGTGGCAAAGGTATGTGGTTCTGGGCAGGGGTGGGTTCTACTTACCTTTACTACCGGTTCTGCACATGCACAGAAGCATTTTGATGATGTCGGGGTCGGTGGGCAGAGCCTCCCGCTGGTTTTACTACCGGTTCTATAGAACCGGTGCAAACTGGGGGCAACCCACCACTGGTTCTGGGGCTGCTTGCTGCCCCACAAGACTGGATGCAGGGGAGTCAAAAAGACCTATGGGGGAAAATAGGCAGATGGCGGGATTTGAAGCACTCTGCAGTTTAAGTGCAGATGGCCTGCCAAAAGCCTAAATTTTGATCATGTGACCAGGGGGGCACTGCAACAGCCATAACTTTGGGCTCGGGTTGTAAATTCATTTCTTCATTTCTTTCAGTATTGCCATAACTTTGAAAGGTTGTTGAAGAAATGGTCATAATTTGAAGACTACCAATACACGTACGTCTTGTATTGTTCTCATTTTGTTAAAATAATAAACATAAAACTGATTACTCTTCCTGATTATTTTTTTAGAACTAGTTTTATTGCTTTTTAAAGTGCAAGTGAACCTTATTTCATTGTCAACCCTTTTTAATTTCACGCTTAAGTTTTTAGTTTGTGGGTTTTTCACAGTTGGATGTTATCAGTGGGAAAACAAACTAGAATTTCTGCATTTAAATAAATGCATACCTAATTAAAAGTAAACATTTGAAAAGAGAAGTTTGACAGAACTAAATCTGTGTTATGGTTATTGTAAGAGAAAACCCAGCTCCACTTGCTAGTTTACATGTAGAAGTAACTTCTGTTAGAAATTTGTAATGATTGATTGATCCTTTACTGTTTTCGCAGAATCATAAGAAGATTCCTAAAAACTGCATGTTCTTTTAAACTATGAACTAATAATATTATTAGTAAAATATACCTTAAAACTACCAGAGTCCCTACCAGAGCGTTGTTTTTTTTTTAAAAAAGAGAACATTGTATTTTTGGTTACATTTCCTAATCAAAAGGCCATAACAATTTGCCTATGGCTTATTTTAGGAATCCAAAATCCCTTCTGCCTGTCATTCACACTCAGCCTGCAGAGTATGACTTGCTGATATTCAACCCCAGATATGCTAAGCAAAAGCATTGCAAATCAAAGGCAGCACAGTAATTCTCATTTTCCTGATTTAAAACTAGTGCCGCATTTAATCCTAACCAAGGCCAAAATAAGCTATTTTCTGCTGCTTGTCAAAGGTCAAAAGTACTTCCATGTCAGTTCATTTCATGCCTAAGACTGGCCAGAAGTAGACTTAAGGCAGGTGGGCATATGATACCTTGAATTTAAACTTTACTACAGCCATTTACAGCACAGAATAATAAGAGCATAGAATATATGGAAATAATACATTGTAATAAAAAGAAGAAGACATAGAAAGCAGTTATAAGATAGCAAAGACTGCCTCAATTGATATTACAGAGGAGGAGGAGGAAGAGGAGGAGGAGGAGGAGGAGGAGGAGGAGGAGGAGGAGTCAAGACATATTATCAGCAAACCAGGCCAAAATAGAAATATTTAGGTAAATAACTATAGTTTTATTCCTACCTAACTGAATAAAGTATGGATAAATCTAACACTATTATAAAGTTATCCTATGTGTAAAATATATGAGGCAGTGCATAAAGCATGTAAGTATTAGTATGTGCTAACAGCTCCAACGCAAATTGCCTTTCTACGTATTGGAGCAACTCCTACCAACTTATCTTGACACCAGCAATGACAAAAATCACAAAGAAAATTGCTAGAATCAACCCATAAACCCATTTAAACTGAGCTGAAAAGGTTGGGGAACAAATGGGGATGGGCTGCTTCCTACTTCCTGATGTGAGCAGCTCCGTAGCCTTTACACAAAACAGATATAAGATATCGAAAGAACTGGGCTCAGCAGTTTTAAGTAGAGGGAAGAATGGCAAGTTCCAGACTTGGAGAAAGGAGGTTAAATTCCTGAAGAGCTTTACATGCCGTCCCTCTCTCCCTAAGTGCCTCTCCAAAATACTATAGCACAGCAGTCTACTAACTGTAGTAAAAAAATATTCATGTGTTGGAGCGATATAAAACCAAATCTCAAGACAAGTTGTTAAAGAACTTGCAATTTGGAAATGCAAGAAGGATGGACTACATCAAAGTTTACAGATAGCAGCACCTGGTTATCATTGTCAATTCATTTCCAGGGTGAAAGATAGAAAGAGAATAACAGAGACCAATCTCTGATGAGTATTTTCTTCAGAGTTACAGCAATTCCTGTCAATTGCAGCAACAGTGCTTACTCGCACCACCCCCGGAATCACAAAATACCAACATTTGTTTTCTCTGCATATATAAGAATCAACTGGTGCCATAATTTTTCCCTATTTTTTTTCTTCAGTATAACAAGCAGAAACAGTTGCACTGAAAATGGGAACATTATGTATGAGGAACACAGAGATGCTGTCCCAATCCAGCAGTCTCCCCATCTGTATATTTTTTAAGATAGAAAGAAAACACTGAGATACAGGTACATAATTGGGCCCAGTACTATAATTTATGTGCTATTTATCTAGCACTAACTATTTATCTAGCACAAATCCCTTAAAAAAAGACAGAATTAAAAGTTATCAGGCACCAGATAATCAATCAACTAATAATCTGAAAATAAATCCTGAAATTTTCTATGTATAGAATAGAAAGCAGATGTGGAAAGCGTTCAGTTTGAATTAAAAATTCTCATCCAAATTCTCATTGCAACAACTAAAATGATATATAAGCAAAATTATTATGCCAATTTAGACCTTAAGTGGGATTTGACTAAAAGCTTTCCCTTCAGTACCAGAAAAAGGAAGAGCCCTAATTATTAATGCACATAATTTGGGCTACAATTTGGAATAGCAATCAAGACATGGACTGTACAGTCTGAATACAATGGGTTATCTCAGTTGCTATTTATGAGAACTGTTCCAATAGACAAGCTGGGGCAGGTGGGTAAAAAAAGAGAAAACATACATGATTTCTCCTTTTCTTCTTTTTCCCTATTTAGAGGCTGTTTTACCCTTGGCCTCTTACATGTAGTCTTCAACTTACAACAGTTCATTTAGTGACCATTCAAAGTTACAAAAGCACTGCAAAAAGTGACTTATGACCATTTTTCACACTTACGACCTTTGCAGCATCCCCATGATCAAGTGATCAATATTCAGATGCCTGGCAACTGGTTCATATTTATGACCTCTGGGGTGTCCCAAGGTCATGGGATCCCCTTCTGACAAGTAAGGTCAATGGGGAGGCCAGTTTCACTTAACAACCAGTTACTAACTGCAGTATTTCACTTAACAGCAGTGGCAAGAAAGATCGTAAAATGGGGCAAAACTCACTTAACAAATGTCTCACTTAACAACAGAAATTTTGGGCTCAATTGTGGTCGTAAGTTGAGGACTATCTGTATTTAATAGTTTTGTAATTTTCGTTTTGACGTTCAGCTTCCCTTGGTGGCATGCAAAACACTAACGGAACTGAAGAACAGTAGCAGTATAGCAATGCTAAGAGTAAACAGCAAAACAACAGCAAAAATGGTTAAGTGAGACATTTGTTAAGTGGGCTTTGCCCCATTTTATGACTTTTCTTGCCACAGTTGTTATGCAAATCACTGCAGTTGTTAAGTTCGTAACCCAGTTGTTAAGTGAATCAGGCTTTCCCATTGACTTTGCTTGTCAAAAGGTGGCAAGAGGGGATCACATGACCCCGGGTCATAAATACGAACCAACCGATTGCCAAGCATCTGAATTCCGGTCCCACGACCATGGGGCTGCTGCATAGGTTGTTAACAATGAAAAAAAAAAAAAACGGTCATAAATCACATTCATCACTATTGCAACTTTGAACAATCACTAAATGAACCATCGTAAGTGGAGGACTACCTGTATTACTAAGGTTACCTCCGCTGACTTCCGCTAACTCTCCATGCCTTTGACCACAAGTCCACAAGAAAGTAGGCTGCGTTAAAATCCCAATTACAATTTCACCAGAGTCCTTGTTCTCATTCTGTAGCCCTCTCAAATGTGCCCTGTCACTTCGCAGACTTCCTGCAACCCCGCCGCCTTCAGACGTTCTGCAGCCACCCTTGACAGGTGGCAACGTCAGATTAAGGGCCGCTGGGGAGGGGGAAAAAAAAACCCCTTTTATTTACAACCCTTGAGGGTATGTAGAATTAACTCCAGATTTCTTTTTTCCACTCTCAGGCCTAATTGACTGGGGTTCACCCCTTCCATGGTGCCGCTCCGAGCCAAAGGGTGAGCCCCTATTCCAGCAGGGACGCCCTTTTTTTCCCCTATAAACCACCCCGCAATTCTCCCTTCGCCCGGGCTACCGGGGCCTTAACACAACTCTGTGTGTGACGTGTGTGTGTGTGTGTTGATGGTGGGGAGATCAGCACAAGGATGCTGACGCGGAGGGCGCCCGGATCAGAAGACCCAGAGCTGTGTGGAGGTAGCGCCGAGGAAGGTCTCCTCTAGGGCCGAGGATAGCTGTGCTTTGCTCCCTCTCTCCCTCCCTGCCTGCCTCTCATTTCCCGCTGGCTGGCTCACCCGAAGAACCCCCGGAGGAAAGACTGGGAGGATTTGATCCGCTTCTCGGCCTCGGCCATGAGATGCATGGCCTCCCGCTCCTTGTTGCCCGCAGTTGAGGCGTCCATCTCGGCGGCGCGCAGGGAGGAGGAGGAGGAAAGACGGCAGTCGCCTGCGATGCTCTGATTTCTGGCGAGGGCGGCGTTGGAGGAGGGGGGGGAGAGGGAGGCAAGGAGAAGAGAGCGGAGATCCGCCTTTTCCTCCCGCTCCGCCTCCCGCCTCTGGCGGCGCCCCTCGTTTGCCGCCCCCCCCCTCTCCACTATAACACCCGCCCCCCTCAAGGAATAATCTGAGCAACTTGATAATGGATTTACCTTTATGACGTCATGAAGTTCTCTCCCCACAGGCAACACGGCTGGAGCCCCCCCCCCACCTCAGAACTATAACTCCTCGTTTGGCCGGGTGTGTGTGTGTGTGTGTGTGTGTGTGTGTGTGTGTGTGTGGAGTGGGAAGACACAGAGACCTCTGCCTTTTGTGTAGCTTTTCCCCATGCCAGATAGAAAAATGTGCCTCCCGAAATACAGAATACCCCGAACCTCCTTGCCTTTCTTAAACGACAGGAAACAAATACAGGTTAACAACATTTCGTTTAGTGACGGTTCAAAGTTACGCCGTCGCTGAAGTGACTTCTGATCATTTTTTCACACGACCGTTTATGTAGCATCCCCGTGATCTTAGGATCAAAATTCAGAGGCTTGGCAAGTGGGTTCATACTTAACGACTGTTGCTGTGTCCCGCGGTCATGCGGTCTCGCCTTTTGCGACCTTTTGACAAGCAAAATCAACGGGGAAGCCAGATTCACTGAACAACCGGGCTACTAATTTTATCAACTGCAGTGATTCGCTTAACAACTGTGGCAAGAAAGGGCAAAACTCACTTAACAAGTGCCTCACTTAACAACAAATTTTGGGTTCAGTTGTGGTTGTTAGTCAAGGATTACCTGTTAAACATAGGAAACAATGGATGGAAACTAATCAAGGAGAGAAGCAACTTAGAACTAAGGAGAAATTTCCTAACAGTGAGAAGAATTAACCAGTGGAATAACTTACATTCAGAAGTTGTTGGTGCTCCATCACAAGCTTTTCAAAAAGAGATTGGATAGCCATTTGTCTGAAATGGTACAGTCTTCTGCTTAAGCAGGGGGTTGGACTAGAAGACCTTTAAAGTCCCTTCCCACTCTATTATTTTGTATTCTGTCCCATCAAGAGTTTAGGACCTATTGATCTGAGATCTGCCCTTTAGATAAATTGTTCATTATTTGCTTCTGCTTTTATTTAAATGCATCCCTAGTGGGCAATATATAGAACTGTGTGATAAAAATGTATTTGTCAAGAACAAAAATTGCCAGATCAATCTTACCTTCTTGATGAATAACTTTTTTTTAATGATTCCAAAGCCAAAAGTGCAGTTGGAGTAGGCCATAGAATAAATGTGTTGATGTAGCTATATGAAAATTGCAAGGGGTGGGGATTGATAAAGAGAAGAGCCTCTGGGTGGCTCGGTGTAAGATTTGCTTGGAGACCAGTATTCAATCTTGGTCTGAACTGGTTGGTGTATGTGGCCATCTGTACTGAGGAGTGAACTGGTAGTAGAATGACACCAGTCAAAGTGCTACTGGTCAACTATATGACTGTGTGCAGAGTTGGGCTGGAGATCCTGCCACTCAGTTTCTGTATTGTAAGATCTGTGCTGGTGATGGAGCTAGCCATGATCCTCACCCAGGTGGCAGCAGCATTATTATGCCTGGCTGAGCCTGCCACTTCGTCTCCTTCAGAGCAACAAACACCCAAGGAGGATTCCTACCCTTTCAGAGGATGTGGACATCCAGATGGCAATGCTAAATGGCAACAGTGGGCAAAGCAGACTGGTGAATCATCTGGAGGCCTGCACCTTGTAGTTGCAAGGCCTGCCACATTGGTACTGGCCCTCTTTACCTCATCCTTGCTCAAAAAAAGCAGGTGTCAGCAGCTTCAGAGTAGTTCACCTTTTGGTGCTAAAGAAGTGATTGAAGGAAGGATTAGGATTGACAAACTTGGATCACAGAGGATCTGAGGGATAATGGAGAGGGGCTGGTAGTGGTAGAGAGCTGATGCCTACTCCCCCTTCCAGGTGAGCGGTGGAGGGGGTGATACGGCCATCCAATTCGTGCCAGATTGATCAAGCGATTGGGAACAATTTGGATTTCCTGAAGCTATCTCAGGTGGAAACAATTCAAGGACCTGGTCGCTAATTTTGAAGTCTTTAATATCTCAAAGCTGGGTATGTCAAAGACTTTCTTTTCCTGTAAAAATCTGCCCAGCCAACTGAACAGAGAAAACAAATACTGACCTATTAGGAGATATATTGGGAGGGATTCAAAGATAGGTGTTTTCTGCAGGGGATCCTGTCGACTGGAACAATTTGCCCTCCAAATAAAGGATGACACCCCAGGCCCTTTTCTGCAAGGCCTTCTGCAATTCCAGAACCATTACAGCTTGTCCTTGATTTACGACCACAATTGAGCCCAAAATTTATGTTGCTAAGTAAGAAAGTTGTTAAATGAGTTTTGCCCCATTTCATGACCTTTCTCGCCACAGTTGTTAAGTGAATCACTGTAGTTATTAAGTTAGTGACGTGGTTGTTAAGTGAATCTGGCTTCCCCATTGACTCGACTTAGCTTGTCAGAAGGTCACAAAAGGTGATCAGATGATTCCAGGATACTGCAGCCATCATAAATGGTTTCCAACTGCCAAGTGTCCAAATTTTGATCATGCTGCAACAATCATAAGTGTGCAAAAAATATTACAAATCATTTTTTTCAGTGCCATAATAACTTTGAATAGTCATTAAATGAATGGTTATCAGTCAAGGTCTGCCTGTATTAGAAGACTTGTATTGTAGTTATAGATTGTTTTATACATATCATATTGCATTATTATTTTATGATATTACCTAACCATAAACTTCCTAGAGTCCAGTTGGAGTAAGGCAGTGTCTAAATTCCATAAAGAGACAGTTGGCATTTCTGAGGGTTGTTTTAATTGTTTCTATGGCTTCTACCTTGATTGAGTTTCTCAAGAGCTGTACCGCCTGCCCCGCCCTGCAGGGAGGCAGGACCTATTAGATTGGTCCTCTCCCGTCAATTAATGGACCCAGATGAGTTCCAGAAGGAGCTGGGGGTTATAACTGCAGATCTACTGTGCAGTCCATCTGAGCTCTTAGTCACTGTTTGGAATAGGAAGGTGACTGAGGCTCTGGATAGGATTGCACTCATGCGACCCCTCCTCACCAGTAGACTTCTCTGTGCCCTGCGGTATACAGAGGTACTGAGAGGGATGAAATGCATGAGGAGACGTTTAGAGCTCCGTTGGCAGAAGACAAGGCATGAACTCAATCGAACATGGGTAAGGGCTGCTATTAAGGCCTACCTTGTGGCAATTTGAGGCTCAAAATAACACCACAAACACAGCCATTAATGTCTAAACTGCTGTGGGAGTTGCATTGGCTGCCGATTTGCTTCCGGGTGCAATTCAAGGTGCTGGTTGTCACCTTTAAAACCCTTCATGGCTTGGGACCAGGTTATCTGAGGACCGTCTCTTGCCGGTCACATCTATGCGACCCATCAGAGTGGGGAGGCAGGGAATACTGCAGGTCCCATCCTCAAGGGAGATAGACCTGATGCGACCCAGAAGAAGGGCCTTCTCCATGGTGGCTCCCTCTCTCTGGACATCGTTCCCCCAGATATTAGAACTACCCCACTCTAATACTCTTCTGGAAGGTGCTGAAGATCTGGTTCTGCCAGTGGGCCTGGGGAACCCAGAGAGGGATGGAGCCTATTAAATGGCTCGTGTGATCTGCTGTCACCGGGGTGGGGCATGGGGGGAGATTTTATTATATTATACTATATTAATTTATTTGATTCTTTTTATTAGTTTTATTCTTTTAAATGTGGTTTTATACTCTGTAAGCCACCTTGAGTTGCGATGGACGAATAGGCAGCAATATAAATTCAATAAATAAATAAATAAATTGATCTGAACAACCCAACTCAGTTAATATTTGATAGGAAGTTGCTAGGAAATCCTGTTTTGTGCTAAGAATTGCCAAAGAATTGTGCACTGTTTTTTCAACATTTTGTTGCTGAATTCCAGTAATGTAATGCCTTACTGAACAAAAAGGGTTTTGGACCACACCTGTCCCACTTTTCAAAGAGTTTTGATTTCCAAATAGTTGATTCAATTCTGAATCAAATAATCTCTCTCCAAACTAGATGTACTTGACATGGATCATAATTTAATTAGTGGGAGGATGGCACAGCATATGTAAGTTTAAGGGGACTCAGCTCTCCAGTTTTTTATCAGTTCCAAATATTCAATAGAAATTAGAGAAAACTTGTAAAAATATTTTAGTACTCTAAGTCACGTCCCTCTTCTTTTCTCTCTTCAGAATAAGTAACTAAAAAGAAATTAAATGTTATGCCAGTACATATGTGTGCCTTTGCTGTGCAGGTGACTAAAAAGGATAGGAAACACAGTGATTCATCATGCAGTCTGCAGTTATGTACTTCTGCTTAAATGGCACCAGGATAACCAAAAGTATTGTAGTAATAGTATATGATTTAAAAACATCCAGTAAAAATAATTCTGCTGTTTGAACAGAGTTATAATCTCAGATGAACACTATATGCCAGTATTGCTTTGTTTGGCCGAGAATTTTAATGACTGTACAGAAACTGATTAACCTTCAGATTATTTGGTTTTTCTTTTTTTCTTTTTTTTTTATTATTTTTTATAAACAAACATACATATACAAACGTAGACATTAAAACAAACTATACATAAACTAACTATACAGAAAAGTCAAGTCTTACAGCTTGAACTTTAAAAGTAGAGCTACTTTGGTAATTATATATCTATGTATCTATGTATATTTATCTTTCATCATGTACCAATATTTATACAACGATATTTCATTTTATTTCCTTATTTTTGTGTCATTTGGTGGTATTCCCTTATTTCGTGTTCTTTTTATCTAACCAGTTGTACCATTTCTGCCAAATTAAATAATACTCTGAATCTTCTTTTCCCTGTATCTCTTTGGTAAGTTTGTCCATTTCCGCACATTCCATTGTTTTTTGTATTATTTTTTCCTCTGATGGCG